GAAAGGGGAAAGGGCACTCCCAGCGGAGGGTGCCATGTAAGCAAAGGCGCGGAGGCATGAAACAACCTGGCAAGTTTGGAAAATTGCAAATCATATGGCTTGGGTGGGGCGGGGAGTGTGAGGAGGATGGGCTGCAGAGATGAGGCGGCGAGGGAGGCAGGTTCTGATCACAGTGGGCCTTGTGGGCTGCGGTAGAGGTTTGGATTTTATCCTGAGGGCTGCCGGCAAATCACTGGAACAGACTTGGGTTTTAGAAAGATTTCTGTAGCAACCGAGGATAAATGAATTCAACAAATACATTCTTTTTAAAAAGATTTCTTTTTAATGTGGACCATTTTTGAAGTCTTTATTGAATTTGTTATAATATCACTTCTGTTTTATGTTTTGGTTTATTGGCCCTGAGGCATGCGGGATCTTAGCTCCCCGACCAGGGATCGAACCTGCACCCCCTGCATTGGAAGGCGAAGTCTTAACCACTGGACCGCCAGGGAAGTCCCGCAAATACATTTTGAATGCATACTTACTACGTGCCAGGCACCATGCTGGGTCCTAAGGATTCAATTCTGAATGAGGCACACCTAGTCTCAGTCCTGCAGTGAGATACACAGACAGGTGGAGCAGGTGGGACTGTTGGCACACAGACTCAAGAAACACACTATTTCTGTATTCTCATTAAATCAGCTCCAATCTGACTCTCACTCTAGCCCTTGCCTAGAAGTTGGCAGAAGATTCAATCTCAACCATCCCCGGAGCCGTCTGCCACTTTCTCTGTAGGCTCATGCAAGGACCTGCTGTCCCACCAGGGTCTAAGCATGGAGTCCTGATTCCGGGTGCACTAGTTACACAGAGATAGATGCCCATTGTACCAGTCCATGTGGTCCCTCGAGGTTCGGCAACTCAGCTGTTCCTCTGCCACCCGGAAGCGTTGAGGCTAGTACCTCAGTGCTTGGGCTCCAGCCTCCCCAGGTGCTCCACCTGCCCCCCAGCTCCCATCATCTGTCAGGGGAGGGACTGCCGGCCACAGATCCCCACCATTCAGATGCCCCCCACTTCTGGCTCCTCTGCAGCTAGCTGCGCTCTCTCCTTTCTCTGCCCACATTGGCTGCCCTCTTCTCCCCATCCCCTTGGGAACACCTAGCACAGTCACTTCCAGAAGGTTAGCTTTTTCAAAATCAGGATGCGCCGTCAGACTTCAAGCAGCTTTTATGTTCAACCCCGCACAAGTTTCCAGAGGCTAGAAAAATCAGAGGGTTCGGATACCAGCTTGAACTGGGAAGGGAGCAAAATAATGAACATTTCAATAAATTATCCTGCCACAGAAAGTGGATAGGTGATGAGAGACCCGGGCACCGGGTCCTGTGGGAGCTCAGATAAGGGGCACCTAGCTCATGCCAGAAGGTCGGGAAAAGCCTCTCAAGGAGGGAAGTTTTTGCCATATGAGTCCTGAAGATAGCAAGGAAAAGTGTTCCAGGAAGAGGGAACAGCAGGTATGAAGGACTCAAGGTAAGAGCCAACAGGGGTGTGTGAGGAACTGACAATTGCCCTGTGAGAATAGCTGGGACTGAAGGAGGTGGGGCTGGGTGATGAACAACCTCCTAAATCCCAAGAGAAGGTTTGGAGTTAATCTGACCATAAGAAGCCACTGAAAAACTTTAATAGAAGAAGAGACCCGAGCAGATTTCTGGTCTAGAAACATTTAATTGGCTATTAGTAGAAAATGAATAGGCAGAGGGTAAAATTTGAGGCAGGGGAAAGCAGTTGGTAGGAGCTGCAGGGATCCAGGCAAAGGATGGTGGCTGCCTGGACCCCTGGTGGTGGCAGTAATGGACAGAAGCATTATCCACAGATAATTATGAGGAAGAAGGGACAGGACTTGGGGGGAAGGGCGGAGGGCAGATCTTCCAATGACTATCTGGGGCAAATCCCTGAGATGGGGCAGAGCAGGATGGTGGTGGGAAGGTGTCAGCAGAACATCGAGGGAGAAGAAGGAAGGATTCGGGGTGCAATGGACCCCTCCCCCCACCCCGTCTCTGCATCGCGCGATTCCCAAACTTCCCACTAGATGGAGGGCTGGTGCTGGGAGACAGGCTCCGCCTCTCATCCTCTGCCCCTCACCCCCAGTGGGATGGGCCTCCACTTGGGCCTTTCCAAACCCCGTGTCCCTGAACTCGATAGGAGAGCGGCTGTATTTGGGGCCATCAGCTGCCCCCACTCCCCAGGACTGTGGCCTCAGCCTCTAGGGCCCAGTAGTAGGGGCATCAGGCCAGAGACCTCTGTCCAGGTCCCTCCGCGCGCAGCTCTGTGCCCGCGTATTACAGGGGTGTTTCCGTGCTCCGGGCTGCCTCCACCACTTCAGCCTCCAAAACCGCCTGGCTCCCACAGATAGATACGTCCCCAGCCTAGAGACCTCCCCGTCAATGGCGCCATTGTTGCCCCCCCAACGCTCTCCTTCTCCCCGACCCCACGCTGGGGGAGGGAGAGGCCCCCATTCCTTTCACTTCTAACCCGGCCCCCAAAGGCAGGCTCAGCTCCAGTCCCAGGCTGTTAGACGCCCGGCACCTAGACCTCCCTGGACCTTTGGCACCGTATACAGGTTGGCTCCCGGCGGAGCCAGATAGGAGGCGGGGCCTAGGGTGGAGTCAGGGAAGCCACCGGGGCCGTGGGTGCGGCCCAAGGAGGGATAGAAGCGTGGCCTATGGCGGGGTGGGGATCTCCCGAACCTGGAAGCATCCTCCCCTCACCCCAGCACTCCCCACCCCCGCCGCGCCCCGCCCCGCCCCGCCCCATTCACTGCGGTCGCTCGGGAGCCCAGCCCGCTCTGGCCCTCAGTCCAATAGCCAGACAGACCAGCCGTCGGGAAGCTCCTGGCCCCACTTAACAGAGGTCGTTTCTTGAGAGGCCGCGCCCAGCTCCCTGGAACTGCCAGGCCTTGTGGAGCAGGCGGGGGAAAGGAGGATGCATTTTCTGGGCCTGCACCTCTCCCCACACCCCAAGTGTTTCCGTTCTTTTCTAGATAGAATAGCTAGAGGTCCTGGGGCTTAAGTCCCGAGCTGGAGGAGCTGGTCAGGCGCCTGATCCCCACCAGCAACCCCTTCCCTGCCCCTCAACGCTCAGGCCTGGAGGCGGCTCTAAAAATAGACTGAGGCGCGGGAACGTGCCTACGCGGGAGGGGGTCTGGGAGGCCTGAGTCACCCTGCCGGCAGGGCCTTCCCCCCATCTCGGGAACCTCGGCCGCCTTGACGGCCTGGCATCGCTCTGATCCTGTTGGCCCGACTCTGCGCTCTTGGCTGTGCCACGTCCCCCCTCCCAGGCCCGGGAGCTGGCCAGGCGATGGCGGCCCAGGCTGGGTGAGCGGCGGCAGCAAACACAGCCGGGAAGGATTAGGAGTTCCCGGGCCTGATTTATTTAGTTGTTTTTGTGTGTCTGGCGGCAGCCCCCCATCCCCCACCCGCCCTCGGGACAGTCACGTCTACACCTGCCCTTCTCTCCCGCCCAGGCCCACGGAGATGTTTTAGGCTTCTGGGTGGGGACCTGGGCTCGGAGCAGCAAAAAGTCCCAACTTGGATCTTAGAGGTTCCGGAGTTAGCATCCCCATTCAACAGATGAGAAAGCTGAGCCCAGGGGAGAGGAAGGGGCCTATCACAAGCAGATTGTGCTGTTGGTAGCCCTGGATTCAAATCCCAGCTCCGACTCTTAGCTAGCCACTTCTAGGGCTCTTTTCCTTACTGCAAAGCGCTCAAGTTGAGGATGACACCCGTTCACCTGTGAAATGGGAATAATGATAAATACTTAGGATCGTCCTGATGATTAAAATTGCTTTTTTACGGGAATTACCTGGCGGTCCAGTGGTTAGGACTCGGTGCTCTCACCACTCAGCTGGGTTCCATTCCTGGTCGGGGAACTAAGATCCCGCAAGCTGGGTGGTGCGCCCTTGCCAAAAAGTTAGTTTTTAACAAGCGGCAATGACGTGTTGGGTGTTACACGTGGGTTCAGTCCCAGCTCAGGAAGTTAGTTTTCATCTCTGGCACCTATCTTTTTCCCCTTCTGCATGTACAGAGGAGGATTAATGGGTGTGGTGAACTCGCCCTGCCCACCCTACCCCTGGGGCTCAGCTAAGGTGGTTGGGGCCTGGTCACAGGGGCACTTAGGTGAATGTGGAACACATGGGCCAGAGCGGGGGAGAGGAGGGGCAGCATCCTGGCTTTGCATGGGTCTGGCTCACCTCACCCTGTTCCCCTTTCTGAGGAGGAGGCATGTTTGGGTCATTACAGGGTTAAGAGCCTCAGACTTAGGGAATGGAAGGGACTCAAGAGTCCCTAAGATCAACTTTTCCTTGCTGGCAAAGGGCAGGGGCCCTCCTAAAGCCAAACAGTGCATCAAGGTTGACCCTGGCCCTGAAGCCAGCTCCCCAGTCCCAGGCTTTTTCTCCCCACCTTTCAACCACCTGTCTTTTGTCTTCCAACCACCAGTATCTAGCCTTTTCTGAATGGTCAAGGCTGACAATACTCAAGTTGGTTTTATTTCTTTACATATCATTTGTTATTTAGGCCACTTAATGGGGAAAAAAGAAAGTCTGATATCTGTTGGAAATGTCATTGACCTTTCAAAGCTACATGAAATCAGCTTTGTAAATAGGAAGGGGATGAGCATGGGTGTGAGGTGCAGGGCAAGAGTCCCTGGTGAATTATATCGCCCTCCCCAATAATAATAATATTAATAATGCACACTTTGGAGCATTTACTATGGACTTAGCTTAGTTTCATACATTATCGCATTTAATCCTCCAAACAATTCCATGTGGGTGGGTGTTATCATTGTCACCCCATTTTACAGATATGGAAACGAAGGGTTCAGAGAGATGAAGGAAGAGAACAAAACCAGGAAGCAGCAGAGCCAGGATTAAACCCTCTCTGAGCTTAGATTTTATTTTTTGCCTTGATGAAAAAGTTTGGTTTTCACTCTGAATTTTCCCTTGCCCTGCCCACCCCCTCAGCCTCCCTTTCCAGCTAGGTTGTCAGGCCTCCCAAGCCCAGCCCCGGGCACTGCTGGGAGGAGGTGGGGCTGGGCAGCAGCCAGAGTTTCTCTCTACCAGAGATTCCAGGTTTCAAAGAATTTATGAGTCCAACTGTCTGAGGAGCATGCAAAAAGAGAATCCGGGACTCCTCTCCCCACCACGCCTCACCCAGGGGACTCCTTGGCCCGCTCTCCACGGAAGGGAGTCTGTCCTGGGCCCTCTTTCATTCCTGCAGCCAGTATTTACAAAGTGCCTAGTCTCTGTCATAGGCTCTGGGGATAAAATGGTAGCAAAAACAGCGCTTTCTATGGCTTGCAGTCTAGCAGGCTGATAATTGATTACAGGGAGGGGTGTACCCTCCCTCTTCCAAGCTTCTGCTCAGATCTACCCCTTCTGGGAGACTGTTCCCAGCTGCCTTCCTCAGCCCCTATGGGGAAGGAAGGTGAAGACAGTCTCAAAGCTAAACATGTGAGGGACAGGTGGGAAGGGAAGGCAGCCAACAGATTGTGTTTGTAGTGGTGGTAAGGTTACACTCTCTCGTCGCATGTATGGAATACCTGGCATCTACTGAGCTCCAGGAACTGTGCTCAGCGCTTGAAATTGATCATCTCAGGTAACGCTCACAGCATCCCTGTGAGCCGTGGACAATTCCATTTTACCAACAAGGAAACTGAAGCTGTCTCTAAGAGATGAAGGGATTTGCCAAAAGTCACACAGCTAGTAAGTGGCAGGAGTGGGGTTGGAACCCAGTTTTTCTGGGGCTGGAGCCGCCACTGTTAACCACTATGCTGAGTTCTTGTTTGACTTTTAGGTAAAGAAACTAAGACCTAGAGAGGCCTAGCGATTGGCTAAAGGTCGCACAGCATAACAGGACTGTGAGTTGAGTTGGTTGGTACCCAAAGGGTTGCTTGGGTAAGGGTATACAAACTATCCTACCAGGGCCTTGCGTAGCCAACTCTTGCCCCAAAAGGGATTATTGGGGATGGGGCAGGGCCTGGAGGAAGGCTAGGGGCCAGGTCCATCTGGGGGTCTTCAGTGCTGCCTGTGCTCCACCCTCACCCCTCTCCACAGGCCTTGTGCCACAGGGCATAGGACACTTGGGATGCCTTGGTAGATGTGGGCTACATCCCACTGTCCCTGCTGTGTTTGTTCTGAGATGTCATCTCTGTGTCCCGCTCTGTGCAGACGTGGGGAGGTGGCTGGTGGACAGGAGAAAAGGAAGTTTTAGGCCTTTGCTTAGTCCTTCACCCCTGGGAGCTTCCAGTCTGTCTGGGGAGGAGGGACTTGCCTGTGTTGGGGATTGTTACGCTGGCGAGCATTTATGAGCATGTTCGCTAGGTGCCAGCAGCATGAGTGAGCCTTTCTCTTAGCCATTCTCTCCCTTAATCCTTTCAGCAAACCCTAAGTGACAGATGTTGCTGTAGTTCTGATCTTCCGAGGAAGAGGTTAAGTGATACCACCAAGTTACAGAGCCAGGATTTGAACCCAGGTACAGGCGATCTAACACCATGCTCTGTTGCAGGGGTTCTCAAATGTGATCCCTGGGCTGGTAGCACCAGCGTTGCCTGGGGACTTATTTGAAAAGCAAACTCTGCTGAATCAGAAATTCTGGGGGTGGGGCCCGACAGTCTGTGTTTACCAAGTCCTCTCAGCTCCAGAGCTTCTGCTCTCTTGCTTCATAGCACCTTGACTGGGGGGGCAGGGGCAGGGGGCAGGTGTCCTGACCAAGGTCATGGGCCCTGGAGTCAGGCAGAGCTGAGTTCAAATCTCTGTCCCACCACTTCCCAGCCCTATGACCGTGAGACTTAAATCATGAATCTTTGCCTTTCTAGCCTGTGAAGTGGTGGTAACAGTGTCTCACCTCCTAGAATTGTTGCCGGGTTAAATGAGAGAGTAGATCTCATTTGACAGATGAAAAAATGGCGGCCTAGAGAGGGAAAAGGACTTGCCCAGGCCCCTGCTGTGTGGGCTCCTTTCCAGAGAGGACTCTGCCCTGTGGGTTTGTCCCAAAGTGATCAGTTCATATCTAGCTCCATCCTTGCCAGCTGTGTAACCTTGAGCTGATTCCTCGTGTTCTCTCTGCCTGTCTCCTCGGGCTTAGAATGGGGATTGTAACAGTGCCTGGGCCTCCTGCCGTTGTTGTGAGACTAAAATGAGTTTCTCTGTGTATGGTGCCGGCCAGCACTTCAAAAGGGCTCAGTAAATGTTAGCTGCTGTTATTAAAGGCAGAGGCAGGATCAATCCCTACTGTCTTCTAACAGCACCCCCCCACCCCTGGTCAGAGGATGATTAAGAGTTTAGTGCAGGTCAGAGAGCGTGGGAATTCTGAGGAGCGGAATCTTCCCCTCAGGGGAGAGCATTTCGGACCAGATAATTCTGTATTGTGCGAGACTCTTCTGTGCATTGCAGGATGTCTAGCAGCACCCCTGGCCTCTACCCTCTGGGTGCTAGGAGGTGTCCCCCCACCAAGCTGTGATGACCCAGAATGTCTCCAGACATTGCCAAATGTTTCCTGAGGAGCAAAATTGCCCTGGCTGAGAGTTACCGAGGTAATCAGTCAAGGTGGTTTGAGGTGCTTTAACACACCAGGTGGGGTAACACGGGATCCTACGGTTTACCTCTTCGTATGGTGGGGAGGCTGGGGCCCAGGGGCACACAGTGGGTAGAGGTAGGTCTGGAATCCAGGGCTCTTGTGCCTGTCACCTCTCCACAGGTCCCTCAGAACAGGTGGGCAGAGCCCAGGGGACAACCAAGCTGGGGTCCAGGATGCCTGGAGCGTTCCCGCCTCCTCCCCCTAGTGTCTACCTGCCTGACCATTGCCACATCTACTGCAAAGCCCATCAGAGTCTGGGCTTACCTCTCCAGAAGCTCCAAACAGGTGCCTGGTGTCATGTGCTACTGAGTAAGACACCCTTGTTGGGTATCTAAGAATGCTGTTGCCAGGGCCAAAGTTGCCAGGGCTGGGGGTGTCAGTGTGGAGCTCGCCATGGCCCTGTGGGGGGAGGAGGGCATCAGCAAAGTGGAGCACCGCCCCACCTGCTGGGACCATAAAGCTGCCACCAGAGGTGAAACATGGGTCCCCCTGCCCCGGGGATGCAGAGAGCCGTGGAGACATGGTGGCAGGGCTGATTTAGAGCGAGGAGAGGGAAGGAGGGAGAACGAGAGACAGTCAGAGAGTTAGACATACAGAGCCAGAAACAGAGACACAACCAGAGAGAGACAGAGAGAAAGAGACAGGGTGAAGAGAAGCAGAGAACACGGAAGCTCCAAGACAAAGAGAGATAGGAGATAAGGACATAAAGACGCAGAAAGTGCGAGAAACAGACCCGAGACACAGAGGGAGATGCAGAGTTAGAGACGCAGATCCAAAAACAGAGGGCAACAGAAGAGACAGAAACAGAGACAAAGAAGAGAGAGAGCTGGAGAGGGGGCCGGAGTCACAGAGAGGAAGGAAAGAGAGCTAGAGAACCGGATGCAGAGAAAGCAGGCCAGATTCAGTGAGAGAGATGTCGTGGTCTGAGCGCGGGCTGGAAAAGAATTTCCAGACACAAGGCAGAATGTAAGGAAGATAGAGTTTATTAAAGAGAAGGGTTGCTGCAAGAACAGCGGGCCGACTTCCTGGTAGCCAGGGAAAGTCGACCCTGAGCATGGGTTGCTTGTCTGTTTTTATAGCCAGGGAACCTGTTAAGTCATCTGCTGACTGGGCAGAGTATGTATACTTTCAATGTGCTGAGCGGAGAAAAACGGGGCAAATGTCTTTCCTTATATGGGATGATGGGACAGGGACAGGGCACGCTGCTTGGGAGGGCTCTGGGACATTGCAATGGTCACACTGTGACAGTGATAGGAGTGCTGTAGCTCTTTGTTCTGGCAACATTTGCCCTTTGAGTGTATCGTGTTCTCTGTCTTGGAGCACACCACAAGAGACGAGCCGGAGTCACAAAGAGACGGGACAGACACACCCAGAGGAACCCAAGGAGGCAGGGGAGACCTTGGTCCTCTGATCTCAGTCTCTCCTCTGGGACCCAGAAGCTGGGCATGTGTGTGTATCTCTGCCCACAGGAACATTCATGTCTGTGCCCCTGTGGGGGCTGTCCGTGTCTGAGTGCCCAGACAGTGCTTGTGTGCGTTCATCTGCTAATTCACCACTGGCTGCCTGTGGAGTGCCAGGCTCCTCTGCAGGGCGGTGGGTGCCAGCAGACAAGGCCCTTCCTGGAGACTCTTGCTTGTTAGTAAAGAAAGATGGTACACAAACAAATGCTGGAGCTATGCAGAGATTTCGAACAGTCACGTGCTAGAGAGTGACTCAGGGCTCCTCTAGACCTGGTGGTCAGGGAGGCCACTCTGAGGAGGTGACTTATGAGGTGAGACCTGGATGTCAAAGAGCCAGCCTCGCAAAGATCAGGGACAAATCCTTCCAGAGGGATGACTTGGTACAAAAGCCCGGAGGAGAAAACCAACTTGGTGAATTCAGGACTGAGAAAGGAGGCCCGTGGGACCACAGCTTCTGGGGGTGAGGTGGCTGGACAGGAAGGCAGAGGCCAGATCCTGAAGGACTTGGTAAGGTCAAGGGAAGGATTTGGGGGTTTCTTCTAGGTGAAATGAAAACTGGAAGATTGAAGCAGGAGAGTGAAGCCAGCGGATCCAGGTTTGGAAAGGTCTTGCTGGCTGCTGGGTGGGAAGTAGGGGGTTGGGAGGCTCCTGCAATAGTCCAGGCAGAAGAGGATGGTGGCTTGGGTGAGACCGGGGAGAAGTAGGTGGATGTGGGCTGCGTTTTGGGTGTAGAATCCACAGCAGAGCAGGGATGGCAGGGGAAAGGAAGGGGCCAAGGGTGACTCCTAGGTTGTTTGCCTGAGCGTCTGAATGAACTATGGTGGTGTTTATCAGAATGAGGAAGACAGGGAGATGCAGCTCTGTGGGCAACAGTCAGGAGGTCTGTTTCGGCTAAGTGTGATACGCCCGTGTGTGTATGTGTTTGCACCTGTGTGCCCACAGGCCGGGGCCCAGGTGTGCACGTGTGCCTGTGGCGGTTCAGCTCACCTCTGCTTGGCCCGGTGGGAGCTCCTGGGCTTGACCTGGGGCCAGGCCCTGTCTTGGCTCTTCACTCTAGCCAGCGCCAGGTGCTGCCCCTGCCAGCTGGGGATTCCCCAGTGGCCAGCAGGAACAATGGGGTGGGTGGACCCTTGGCACTACCGACATCTGGGCACACAACCCCAGGCCCAGGAGGCCTGGGAGCCCCGCCCGGCAGCGGCAGGCAGGCTCCGGGGCAGCTGGTGGCAATTAGCAGCGTTGATTACCTCGTGGCGATGCCATCTGGGGTGAGGGCACTGAGCCCAGCCCCACGGGATACCCTGCTTGCTGGCATGCAGGGCTTTCTGGGGCTGAATGCATGTAAGTGTGTCAGCATCTCTGCCTGCGTGTGTGTGGATGTGCCTTGGTGTGTACGTGTCTGAGTTGGGGTTTCTGCGGGAGCCGAGTCTGTGTGGCCACCTGTGTCTGTGTGCACACATGTGTACGTGCTGTGGGTCTGCAGGTTTCTGTTTGCATATATGAAGAATTATGCCTGTGGGCACAGGTGTGTGTTTCTATGTGTATGTTTGTGCACACACGTGTGTGTGTGCATGCATATGTCTCATGCGTGCATATCCAAGTAAAAGCAGTGCGAAGTACATGCATTCTGAAAATTATGCACCTGTGTTTGAGTACGTCCAGGGATATATTTCCGTGGCTTCATCTGTGCTCACACATGTGTCTCCGTGTGTCTGTTTACGTGGAGGAGTATCAAGTGTGTGCATGTGTCTGTGTGAACCTAAGTGTCTACATATGCACGTGGAGTCTATACACGTGTCGTGAGAGAACCTATCTAACTGCACGCTTCTGGATGGGTGCACATATGTGTCAGGGGCAGGAAGGGGCATAGGCCCATTTCTAGACTGCATCCAGCTGTCCCCTCCTGCCCGGGAGGGTCTGGGATATGAATGGAGGAAGGATATAGGAGTTGCCCAGGATGGCACAGTGGTTAAGAGCGTGTGCTGTGGGTCCAGCCTAGCTGGCATGGGCCCCTGCCCCACCATCCACTAACCATGCGATCTTGGGCAAGTTGAGTTGTTCCTGGGCTCCAGGTTTCCCCATCTGTAAAATGGGGGTAAGCATAGAATTCTCCTTCTGGGGCTGTTGCGAGGATGAAAGGAGCTAGCCTATGTGAAGTTCTTAGCACAGAGCCTGACCTATGGGTGTTGTCTATTCATTCCCAAGTGCCCGCCACTGGCGCAGCACGTATGGGCAGGCGGAGCCGGTGCCTGCCCACTCCTCAGGCCAAAGCTCCCAGAAAGCCCCACCCCTCCACTTCCCGCCTGCTGAGCTCAGCGCTTCCCAGGCCCCACCACCGTCATAGCCACATCTGAGCCAGTTCTGCGCAGGGACCACAGTGGCCAGCGTCCCCGTGGCCGTGGTTGCGGGTTTCCGCTGACTCAGCGCCTCGGGCTCCAGAGGCGGGAAACCCCAGGCCTGCCGCCCCTCTGGTTAGATGGGGCCACAGGGCTATGACTCCACCATGTTGCTTCTCCAGGAAGCCCCCACCCCCCCCATCAGGGCACTCCAGGTGCTCCCACCACACGCATTCCTACCACTCAAGGGCCTCTTGAACCTACTTCTCCATAGTTCCTCATCCTTGGGGCCCAGAAATTTGTTTGCTGCCTCCAGGGGAGACCCTTGGGAGGGTCACCTTGATCATCCCCCTGCCTCAGGACAGAACTGGACACATTACCTGCTTCCTTCTCCTCAGAAGTCCAATCTCTCATCCAACCTCGATTCCTCTCCGTTCCTTGGCTCCTGAGTATAAAGCAACACCCTCTCCATCGCTGGGCTGGTCCAGTCTCACCCCCTCGCCCGCTGCCAGCGTTCACAATAATAATGATAATAACAGTGAATATTTATTGAGCTCCTCTTTTGTGCCCTTAGTAAGCACTTTTACAGACTAACTTGTTTCCTGCTCACAATCATGTGAGGTATATGCAGTCATTATCCCATCTTACAGATGAGAAAGTGGAGTCATAGTTAAATAGTAAGTTCAAAACCACAAAGCTAGAGCGGAGGACAGGGATTTGAGCCCTTCTAAGTTCACGGAGTCAGTAGGAATAAGGGGACCCGCTGGGTTCCACTTGTCTGGAATTGAGTCCAGAGCAGAAGGGGTTAATTTAGCTTGCGAGCGAGCACCCACCCAGGCGCGCACACACACCCCAACTCCTGGAGGGGGCCCCCTCCCCCCAGTTCAGACGGTCAGAGAACAGACTAACTGGGAACGTTAGGCTCAGAAACTGGAAAAAGCTGACCAAGGAGGCTTGGGTAGCAGCCACGTCACGGGTGCTGCGGAGCTGGGGAGGAGGGTCTCCATCCTCCCCTCCCCCCAGCCCCGCCACCCTTCTGGAGGCCCAGCGAGGGAAGGGGAAGGGGGTGGCACAGGGGAGGCCCTTCAAGCTCCAGGCCTGGCTCTTAAAGGGCCGGACTCCCCGCCCACCCGCCTGCCGCCAGAGCCCCTTGCAGGGCAACTCCGGGCACGCAGGGTCCCGCCTTGCTCGCTCGCTTACCTGGCGGGGCAAGTGGGAGGGATGGGCTTGGGAGCGCCGCCAGGCCAGGAGTGGGCCTTGCGTCCTGCCGCCTCTGCCACCGCTGGAGACCCCTCCCGGTCCTCCCTCCCTCCTCCTGCCTGGCGGGCGGGTCCAGCTGTGTTCCATTAGCGGCCCTGGCAAGTCCCCAGCCCCCTGGTGCCTCCCCCTCTTCCCCCACCCGGAGTGGCCGGCAGTCCCCGGCAGGCGAGCGGGCATGCGAGCGGGGCAGCATTCAGCCCCAAAAGCTCAGGACAGGGGAAACTGGGGACCCGAGGCCGGCCAGAAGTAATCGAGGAGCTTCCAGCGGGTCTGAAGAACCCAGGCCCTGCTTCCCGCGGTTGGCTGCGTTGGGCTGCCTGGATTACACAGTGAGGTGGCGGGGATCCCCAGCCACGGTAAGTGGGGGCGGAGCGGGCTGCCCCGGGCCTCTGGACTGAAGGGCCCCTTCTGCCCCTGACTTGCTGTGTGACCTGGGGCAAGAGGCATCCCCTCTCTGGACCTCAGTCCCCTTCTTTAAAGCAGGATGAGCTCTACCTCCATTGCAGTTCTGACTCTCCCTGCCCCCAGATCTGTGCCTTCATATATGGATGGGGTCATCTCCTTGGAAGCTTCTCTCTTATCCCTGGAGCCCCCTGCTCTGGATGGGGCTAGAGGAGTGAAGTCGAGAGGTCAGGAGCAGGAAGGGGACAGGGAACGCATTGAAGTTCACGTGCATTCACATGCCTCTCACAGTTGCCAGTCCTTCCACTGACTGGCAGGAGGGGGAGGTCAGGATAGGGTTTGAGAGATAGGATGTGCATGCCACCAGAATGGGGGATGAATAGGGTGGGGGAGCAGTTCTGCCCCAGGAGGAAGGAGATTGGGGTCCTATCTCCAAATATATTGAGGCTAGGGGTCCTTCCTGCTCTCATTCCCTGTCCAGAGCAGAGGGAGGGGAAACAGAATTCCTTTACAGCTGGAGGGAATGAGGTCAGACTTGCATAAGAACTTCCCGACAGGAGGGCCTATGGAGGGGTAGTCATAGGCTCGCCGTGTGCACGTGTATATGTACTAGCTGGTGTGTCTAGGTGTACCGTGAACATGTGTCTCTGTGACCAGGCCTGTGTGCAGGTAGGACTGTATGCACACACGGGCACAACTATGTCTCTGTGTATATGTGCCCGTGTATCTGTGTGTGTCATGCTGACACATGCATGACTGTGTGCGTGAGCGAGCTGCCTGTCTCGGGGGAGGCTGGATGATGTATGGCTCTGCTGGCCGCTTGCTGAGCCCGCATGGGTTTATCTGGGCCCATCCATCGGGGTTTAATAAAACTAAAAGACGAGCATCCACCAGCAGGGGAGGTTGGCAACAAGGTCCTGAGCCCGTTGACCTGTCCTCCCGCCCGCTGCACCCATGGGGGAGGCTCCTTGGCTCATCAACCCCGTGATGCCTTCCAGGAGACTCAGCCCGGCTGTCAGCCCCTGACCTTGTGGGTGCCAGACAGGGCCGCCTGGCTGAGCTGGGTGCGGCTAGCCAGGTGCCAGGCTAGCATATACCAGTACAGTGCACAGGTTGATAAAATATTGAAATACTTCCAAGTGCCTTGGCAAATAGCCTCCGCCTCAAGCGTCCTCGCTCTCCCGAGTGACCTGGGCTTCTAGGACCCTCTAGATCTCTCCTCAATCCAGCAACTGTCCACTGACGCAGCCAGATGCCGCCTGGACCTGCTTTCAGCGCTCCAGCCAGCCTTCTGCTCTGGCTGGTCGGTGTCCGTGCCATACCGGTGGTTAAATATTTTGAATATCACCTCGGCCCAAATCCTAGCCCGAGGCCTGTGGTTGGGCCTCTGAGGGGGACTGACGCCTGGCTAGACCTCCTGCAACCCCAGTACCAGCGCCTGGGCCCCCTGGGCCGGTCGCTGCTTGCCCACGTGTGGAATTCCGCTCTGGGAGCTCAGGAATCCACCTTCCTGCTCTCTGTGGTTTTCAGGTGCTGTGGCTGCGGCCGACTTCTCTGGACCAGGATGTGGGCATCTTGGGCTCCTGGCTTGTGGCTGCTCAGCCTCTGTGTTATCTGCAGCCACGAGGCAGATACAGGTGAGATGACGTGAGGATCAGAGTGCCATAGGCCTGCCGCTGCCTCTCTGAGGTGTGGGGTCCTGTGCACATATGTGACCACGGGCCTGGGTCACGTGGGCATTTATAGGAGAGTCCAGAGGCTGGGTTCAGAGTGGCCTGAGGTGTTTGCACGCATGAGCAGTGAGAGGTGAGCTAGAGAGGATGTGTGTTTCTGTCTACATATTTGTGTGTCTCTGGGCCTCTCTGCGTTTACATCTCAGAGTTGCTGTGTGCATCTGTACCTACTCCTGTGTCTCTGTGTGTGGGAAGAACCACCCACCCTAATACATAAACCCAACCTGTGCCCCAGCTGCTGGTGGGGCCGGCGTGGTGGGCAGGAGCCGGCAGCAAGCTCTCCCTGCAGAGGGAGGCTGCATATCCCCAAACGGGCCAGGCCTCTCCAGTCCTTGCCCTGGTGGAGAATCCATCTTCCAGCCCACGTGCTCCTCCTCCTCCACGGCGATCTTGGATAAAGGGGCCGCCTCAAGGCCCAGACGCCGGATGGGACAAAGGGTGCAGCTTTCCAGGGCCCAAAGCCAGAGGAAGTTGACCAGGCAACTTGCCCTGCCCTGCTGGGTGCCCTCTGGCTGTGTGTCTGAGCAGAAATAGAACTCCTAGAACCCCAAATCCAGCCAAAAGAGGCAGAACAACCAAGATGCAGATGTGAGTGGGGTACATGTGACTGTCTGTGGGTTGTGTGTGTACATATGTGTTTTTGCATGTTTGCATATATGCCTTACTGTCTTCTCTCTCACCGGGTCCCCTGGGGATTGGGGCAGATAATTTCAACATCTGTAAGGAATTTGGGCCCGTTGCCAAGGGGTGAGTCACCCTTTGCTGCTGCTGATGCTAAAGACAGTGATAGTTTTTCTGGACAAACCTGGGGGAGAAAGATTCCAGGGGGGTCACTGGGCCTAGGAATCCAGGATTCCTTCTTCCCACCAGGCATCCCAATGCCCAGCTTCTAGGAGCTGTATCCACCGGCTTGTCCCAGCTACCCCATCTGCATTGATTAAAAGGTTTTTTCTGATTCTAGCCTCCATCTCTCCTGTTGTAGCACTCTCTCATTACTTCTGCTCAATCAGCCCTAGAGAAGAGGCAGGCGCATGGCTGCCTACCTGTCCCTTAAGGGTTTTGGAGACCTGACTAAGCTATCCCCTTCTGCATGAGCCTTTATCCCCTTAATATACCCTGTCTGGAGCCCCAAGGTTCTGGTAGGTTCCTTGAGCTTGTGGTCCACTCAGGCCCTCAGTCTTTTCTCACAGTTTCATAATGTAGTTATCCAGGTGAAAAGTCAATCTGTTGACTCAGACTTGTGTCTGGCCTGTTTGTCTGTTTTGGCTGTGGAAAGTGGAACCCCACCCATTGCTGAGAACATGTGTACCAGCAGCACATGGCATCCCTGGTGGCACAGGCATCTACAACTCACACATGTGCAGACATGTGCATGCACTGGTATATAACACAGTGTGCATGGACCTGACGTTTCCTTGCCCCTGAAGTGCTCCTCTGTCTCCCACTTGGGTGTATGTTGTGGAGGGGGCATGTGTATATACACAGCTCCCCACCCCCATCTGAGCTGTAGGCCTGCCCAGAGTTTCTTTCATTCTCTTGCTGGCCTGGCCCCTGACTTGGGGGTCCTAGGGAGATTTGGGTTCTAGGAATTCTGATCTTGCTCTGCTATGAACTTACTTAGTAGCCTTGGGCCAGGCCTCAGTCTTCCCATCTGTGCATTGGCTCCCAGGGTAGCCAGGGTCAGAAGGCGAAAGGTGAAACAGCCCCAAGGCAGAGCCTGGGTAGAGATGCAGTGTGGGGAACATGAACTTGCTCTGCCCCAGGCTCCCCAAGAGCCCGGCTGTGCAGTCACCTCAGCCTGAGCCCACCAGATGCCCCATTGCCAATTCTTTTCCAGGGGAGCGGTGCCCACCTTCACAGCAAGAAGGACTCAAGTTGGAACCCAGAAGCGACTTATCGACCAACGTGACTGGTGAGTGCTCATCTCATCCTGTCGTCTCCCTTCCACCATCTTCCTGGAGTGGCCAGTATCCCACTCACCTGCCCAGCTGAGCTATTCATCCACTGTCTCCCCTACAGGCTTCAATCTCATCCGCCGACTCCGCCTCATGAAGATATCTGCTGTTAAGAAGATCCGAAACCCCAAGGGACCTCTCATCCTGCGACTGGGAGCGGTCTCAGTCACCCAGCCCGTGCGGTAAAGGCCCCAGTGTGACCGCTGGGAATCAGTACTGACCTCAGCCACACTCCCAGCAACTCTGCATGTGGGGCCTAAGCTCAGGGGCACCCGTGGGTCATTGTATCCTGCTTCCTGTCAGGAGTCAGCCTGGTCTCCACTCCTGGGCCTTGCAGGGCGTGCAGAGAGAAGGGGACTGGCAGGCCCACCCTGTGTCCTTTCCCCAACTCTGGCTAGCAGTGGGTGAGGACAAGTCTGCATCCTGTGGGCACCATGAGGACTCCAGGATGGAGGAGGGAAACTTCAAGAATTGTGTGTGTGTGTGTGTGTGTGTGTGCGCACCCACACGTGTGAAGTCCGAACTCCCACAATCCCTGGGTGGTCTGGTCCCTGTTTACCTCTCCAGCCTCATCTTCCAAAATGTTCCCTTTCTTTCTTGCTGCTCCAGTCGTGCTGAACCTGTTCATCGTTTTTCAGTATTTCTTTCCCTGCCCCGGGCCCGGTTATTCTCCCCAAGGCATCCTGGATTCCTTGGAAGCACTTACCACAATCCTAATGAAATAGTGCAACAGTCATTCTGAGGATCCTTTGTTTATGGCCTTACCTCCCGCATCACCCCGTCAGACTTGAAGGCTCCCTGAGGACAGGCCTCTTCTCTGTGTTTTCACCCCTGTTACCCCCCGCAGCCAGACCCACCACTGGCACATAGTAGGCCCTCAAGAAACATCTGTAGAATGAATGGATGTGTATATGTATGTGTGTGGCAGTTTGG